GGGAGGGAGGGAGGGAGGGAGGGAACCGAGCAGTTTTCAAGTCGACATTCACCTTTTCAGAACGGAAGTACAGAGCTGAGTCATGTGGTGGAAGAAATACAAGTGTGTTGGCTCAAGCCCAGAGTTGCTGATAGGGAGATGGATGCCTCCTGCCCCACAGGCAGTAAACATCTGTTGCGCAGGCAGCCCCTTACCCTCTGCCTGCCTTACCTGTGGGCTTTGTGTTCTTGGGCTACCTTCTGGGTCAGCTCCTCCAGAACAGCCTCTTCCAGGGCCAAATCCTATAAAAATAGAAAGTGCTTAAGGTCACACGAGGGTGTGGGCATTTGCTATTTTGATTGCAAACCTTAAAAGCTCCCTTCCTCAGATGTTCCTGATTAGTCACATTTCCTCAATATCTCCTTTACTGCTGTAGAATTAAAGGTTGTAATTTTTAGATGTGAGTTATGATTTCTACTGTTATAACATGGCTCTCCATTATAACAGGTTATTTCCAGGTATATTTTGGGTTGCCCCCTAAGTTCTGTGGTGCCGGGGAATAGCTCTTTTCATTCATTCTTCTCTCTCCGCCTGCTTCTCAGATGTACATTTATAAAAAATGCTTTGCATGTGCTTACATATTTCTAATGCTTGGGGTATAGGCCAATGAGTTCCCAAGCCATCATCCCTTCAAAAGTTGAGCCTAGAAAGGGACTGTGCCAGTCCTTTCTGTATACCAGGAAACGAATTCAAAACCGCTGAAGGCAGAGTAGGCTCATTCTGATGTTACTTGATGGTCATGGGGGCAGAGGAAGCCATGATGGCCAAAACATCTCCAGAGAGCTCTGTAAGGCAACAGGTGTGTAGCTCACTAGTCAGCTGAACCCCAGGTCCCTGAAACCCGCGATGTGCTGACTACTGTGGGCTCAGAAGAACCGATTACACACATCTTTTCCCAACTCCCCTTCCGAAACACCACGGTGGGAGGATTGACATCATGGAAATGGGCTTGCTAAACACTGGCCAGGGAAGCACTGCTTAGGATGGTGAGATGGAATCAAGAGGAATAATCCAAAATGAGCAGACCAAAGCAATTCATTCTTGAGAAGTCGACAGGGGTAGAGATTCTAGAGTTTGTCTCATGCCTGTGGTGGTCTGGGGCTCAAGTCCCAGGCCAGCTGCTTCTAGCTTTCCTGGGCAGCGGATCCCACATATTCCAGGCTAGTAAGCACCGAGAGAGGCACAGATGGGCACTGTTTTCCTGTGAGCTTCAGAGGGGATGTCAGAAGGAAGTCTGAGCTACACCCTGATGTGGGTACCATCCTACTAGGAAGGGACGTAGGGACTGATATTTTGGCAGAAATCATAACAAATGCCCCATTCCCTTGATTCTAAAATACGATTTATATAAAGATTTCATCTCCAATTTAACTTCTCATGGATGACAACACTACCCCTAAAAATGTACACCTCAAAACTGTGAAAAACATCCCATCTCAAATCGTTAAAATGTGAAAAATCAATATATTTTAAAACTGGAAAGCAAGGGCATAATTATATGCTAAAAATTCCATAGCTCTGCATGTCCTGCTAATTCTAGAGTTCATGAGAAACTTTAGAGCAGACAGGGAATTATGGCAGCTCTTACTTTTCACATAACTGATTAATTTGTGGTTTCCCATTTAGCCATCCATTGAAATGACTCAAGTTCATGATAAGAAATAAGCTCAACATTTTTAGTTTCATCTTGTGGAGTAACAAGGATACCACAAGACTTACAAAGTTAGCTATGTGTGTGCATCTAGGTATTGAGTAAAAACCCCATTAATTTTGAAAAGCTAATGAAGGGCATGTGGCAACAGAATAAAGTGAAGATCAAAAAGTGTTCCATTAAATCTCTGTTTCCTACTTTTAAAAAAGAAGAAGCCCAGAGGTACCCCTTCTGCTATTGTTCTCAACTTAACCGCCTCCATCTGCACCTGGGGCCTCCCTGAGGTATGTGCCCCACCAGGGAGAGTGTGAGCGTGGCCCTGTGGGAATGAAAAATGGCAGAGCGCATGCCTGTACACAGCCACACACCTGTGGAGCGCTCTGTGTACTTGACTTTGTTCTTTTCTCTGCTGAAGAAATGCCATTTAACAAATTCGGTTACATTGTAAGATCAAACACAGCCATTCATCCTATCTTCCCTCCCCCACCAAAGGAATGCATTCTCTTTGAAAGTTCCAGTGGAACCAAGCAGAAAGTTTACACCCTTCTAAGACTACCCCTGGCCTACTCAGCAAGGTCAACAGCTGGGCCTGGCATGCAGACCATTCTTCAATGTGATTCAGCTTCCCCTTCCAGACCTCCTTGCCCAAGAGGTCAAGTCCCAGGCCAACGCCTCTTCTAACACACACTGCTTTTACATTTCCATTCGGAAAGGATGGGCCTTTACATGCTCATCCCCCCTGGGAGAACCATCCCGTCACATCATGCAGTGTGAAATGCCACATCATCCTTAGGTCATGTCTCAGCTACCACTTCCCTTAATAGGGCTCTCCTCTCTCCCCAGCTGGACGTAAGCATTTTCACCTTTTGACCTACCTCTTCCCCTTGTGCACGTCTCCTCTCGTATTCTGCCCACTGCATTTCTTACACGGTTATGTGTATACTCGTCTTATCCTTGATCCTTGTCTCCCACCCTCTATGAGAGTATAGGCTCCTCAAGGGCAGCAATTCTTCTTCATATCACTTAAGGGGCCTATCATAGGGCTTCTGTGCAATGACAGCTTATAAGGGCTAAATGTATAGTAAGTGATAAATACATGCTTCTTGAACTGAACTCACTATGCAACATGTAAATTTCATGTTGTCAAACAAAAGTTTAATTACACAGAGCTGATTAACAATCACTGTACCTTCTGCCTGTGCTCTGCTTACATTAAAAAAAAAAAAAAAAAAGCATAGAGTGATGTTACCTGGAAAGCACACCCTTCAACGGCCTTATATTTGCAAGACATAGAGACAGAATAATAGTGCTAATAACAATAATAATATGACAACTAAACAAACAGTTGTTGAGAATTTACCACGTGGCAACTTGTATTATGTATTTCATAGTAGGTATTTCACAAGTATTATGTCCTTTAATGCTCACAACGAAATTAGGTTTGTTATTCTCATTTTTAGATGAGAAAACTGAGGCTTGGAAAGGTTAAATAACTTACCCAAAGTCATGTAGTCAATAAGGGGCACAGCTAGGACAGGGTCACAGCACTGCTCAGCAAAGGTGCCATGAAATTGCCAGCCACAGGCCACAGTGCACCCAGGATACAATGGGGCAGGGGTAGGGGCTGAAAGTGGACAGCCAATAACTAAAGTCTAGGAATATTCACAACTCAGATAGGCCTCTGCCACATCACCTTCAGTGTCCAACAGGGCTTTTTGGGATGACGAACATGTTCCATATCTGAGCTTTCCAATATAGTAGCCTCTAGACACATGCCACTACGGTGCACTAAAAATGTAGCCAAGGCCGTTGCAGTGACTCAGCCTGTAATCCCAGCACTTTAGGAGGCCAAGGAGCACTTGAGGCCAGGAGTTCAAGACCAGCCTAGCCAACATGGCGAAACCCCATCTCTACTAAAAATACAAAAATTAGCTAGGCATGGTGGCACACGCCTGTTGTCACAGGAGGGACTTAGGAGGCTGAGGCAGGAGAATTGCTTGAACCCGAGAGGCGGAGGTTGCAGTGAGCTGAGATTGCGCCACTGCACTCCAGCCTGGGTGACAAAAGTGAGACTGTCTCAAAAAAAAAAAAAAAATGTAGCCAATGCAATCAAGCAACTAAATTTTTAGTTTTATTTAACTTGCATTACTTTAAATTTGAATGTAAATATCCACACATGGTTAGCGGCTACCACCCCAAAGAGAGCCATTTTAGATCCAAGAATAACAATGTCAACATTTGTCTGTCCAGTGACGAGATTATGAAGTCTATGCTGTTCACGTATCTGATTTGCCTATTGTTTAGTGGAAACACAGTCTTATTCTGAAAGAGGTATAATGTACAAAATAACTCCTTTACTATTTCATAGCACTTTAACCTGTCAGAGCATTTTACCATCTACAAACTCATAAATATCATGCTGGTAATCACCTTTGAAAATTCTGAGAAGCACCCAAACCTGGTCTCTTCCTAAAGGCAATGTAATAAAGGCCTTTAATGAGAGTAAGGTGAATAAAATGCGCGAAATTATCAACCCACCCTTACTAACTACCCCATTTGACGCAAAAAAGTACACACTCTAAAATTCTAAGTTTGAGCCTCACTTTCCTCCCACCAAGCACATTGGGAAACACCCTGACTTTTGGGATGAGCTTCTGAGACATTAGAAATGTTGACTCAAGCATACTGACATTAAGCCCTATGAAGAATTTCTCTGCTAAGTAATATGTTAATCTCTTTGGAGTTTCATTTAATGAGTAGAATTAACAAGGTATGAAAACAGCAGGCACAGCAGATAATACTACTGTTTACTTGGAGGGAAATAAAATAAGAATGGAGGCTGGACACGGTGGCTCACGCCTATAATCCCAGCACTCTGGGAGGCCGAGGCGGGTGGATCACCTGAGGTTAGGAGTTCAAGACCAGCCTGGCCAACATGGTGAAACCCCATCTCTACTAAAAATACAAAATATTAGCTGGGCATGGTGCTGCACACCTGTAATCCCAGCTACTCGGGAGGCTGAGGCAGGAGGCAGAGGTTGCAGTGAGCTGAGATGGTGCCATTGCATTCTAGCCTGGGCAACAAGAGTGAAACTCCATCTCAAAAAAAAAAAAGAATAGAGTTATTCATGAAAAGTTAGAGATGTGCAATATTCCCTAACCATTAAGAACAAGATCAGCTTTGGACCAATTTAGACTGACCTCATGCACTAATATGGATAATTCTAGACTTACCTATCCTAGTCTCTCAAAACCTAAAACCTTTGTCACCAGACACTCCAATTTCTCCCATATGCCATCACCGATAAGTTGCCAGATTTTGCCTATTTTACTTCAAAATATCCCTTGCTTTGCTTTCTTGTTTTTCTTCCACTAACACCTAAATTATATCCTTTGCCCAGAACACTAAAACAGATTCTCAGCTGGCCAGCTCAAATCCAGCAGTTCTCAAAGTGTGGGGTCTGCAGAACTCAAAGGTGCCCATGCATTCTAACTCCTCAGAAGTTTCCAGTCTCATCTGCCACAACTCCACTCCAGTAGCCACAGTCAAATCAGCCAGTGGATGCTTTCTGAATACCCAGGCCACACTGC